GATCTTAATTACAGGAAAAAAATTATTAAAAATTCAAACATATGGAGGCTAAACAACACGCTTCTGAATAACCAACAAATCATAGAAGAAATCAAAAAAGAAATCAAAATATGCATAGAAATGAATGAAAATGAAAACACAACAACCCAAAACCTATGGGACACTGTAAAGGCAGTGCTAAGGGGAAGATTCATAGCATTACAGGCCTACCTCAAGAAACAAGAAAAAAGTCAAATAAATAACCTAACTCTACACCTAAAGCAACTAGAGGAGGAAGAAATGAAGAACCCCAGGGTTAGTAGAAGGAAAGAAATCTTAAAAATCAGGGCAGAAATAAATGCAAAAGAAACTAAAGAGAGCATAGCAAAAATTAACAAAGCTAAAAGCTGGTTTTTTGAAAAAATAAACAAAATTGACAAACCATTAGCAAGACTCATTAAGAAACAAAGGGAGAAGAACCAAATTAACAAAATTAGAAACGAAAATGGAGAGATCACAACAGACAACACCGAAATACAAAGGATCATAAGAGACTACTACCAGCAGCTCTATGCCAATAAAATGGACAACTTGGAAGAAATGGACAAGTTCTTAGAGAAGTATAACTTTCCAAAACTGAACCAGGAAGAAATAGAAGATCTTAACAAACCCATCACAAGCAAGGAAATCGAAACTGTAATCAGAAATCTTCCAGCAAACAAAAGCCCAGGACCAGATGGCTTCACAGCTGAATTCTACCAAAAATTTAGAGAAGAGCTAACACCTATCTTACTCAAACTCTTCCAGAAAATTGCAGAAGAAGGTAAACTTCCAAACTCATTCTATGAGGCCACCATCACCCTAATTCCAAAACCAGACAAAGATGCCACAAAAAAAGAAAACTACAGGCCAATATCACTGATGAACATAGATGCAAAAATCCTTAACAAAATTCTAGCAAACAGAATCCAACAACATATTAAAAAAATCATACATCATGACCAAGTGGGCTTTATCCCAGGAATGCAAGGATTCTTTAATATCTGCAAATCAATCAATGTAATACACCACATTAACAAATTGAAAGATAAAAACCATATGATTATCTCAATAGATGCAGAAAAAGCCTTTGATAAAATTCAACATCCGTTTATGATTAAAACTCTCCAGAAAGCAGGAATAGAAGGAACATACCTCAACATAATAAAAGCTATATATGACAAACCCACAGCAAGCATCACCCTCAATGGTGAAAAACTGAAAGCATTTCCCCTGAAATCAGGAACAAGACAAGGGTGCCCACTCTCACCACTACTATTCAACATAGTTTTGGAAGTTTTGGCCACAGCAATCAGAGCAGAAAAAGAAGTAAAAGGAATCCAGATAGGAAAAGAAGAAGTGAAACTCTCGCTGTTTGCAGATGACATGATCCTCTACATAGAAAATCCTAAAGACTCTATCAGAAAATTACTAGAGATAATCAACGAATACAGTAAATTTGCAGGATATAAAATTAACACACAGAAATCTCTTGCATTCCTATACACTAACAATGAGAAAACAGAAAGAGAAATTAAGGAAACAATACCATTCACCATTGCAACAAAAAGAATAAAATACTTAGGAGTATATCTACCTAAAGAAACAAAAGACCTATACATAGAAAACTATAAAACACTGATGAAAGAAATCAAAGAGGACACAGATGGAGAAATACACCGTGTTCATGGATTGGAAGAATCAATATTGTCAAAATGGCTATACTACCCAAAGCAATCTACAGATTCAATGCAATCCCTATCAAACTACCAATGGTATTTTTCACAGAACTAGAACGAATAATTTCACAATTTGTATGGAAATACAAAAAACCTCGAATAGCCAAAGTAATCCTGAGAAAGAAGAATGGAACTGGAGGAATCAATCTGCCTGACTTCAGACTATACTACAAAGCCACAGTCATCAAGACAGTATGGTACTGGCACAAAGACAGAAATATAGATCAATGGAACAGAATAGAAAGCCCAGAGATAAATCCACGAACCTATGGTCACCTTATCTTTGACAAAGGAGGCAAGGATATACAATGGAAAAAAGACAACCTCTTTAACAAGTGGTGCTGGGAAAACTGGTCAACCACCTGTAAAAGAATGAAACTAGAACACTTTCTAACACCATACACAAAAATAAACTCAAGATGGATTAAAGATCTAAATGTAAGACCAGAAACTATAAAACTCCTAGAGGAAAACATAGGCAAAACACTCTCTGACATAAATCACAGCAGGATCCTCTATGACCCACATCCCAGAATTTTAGAAATAAAAGCAAAAATAAACAAATGGGACCTAATGAAACTTAAAAGCTTTTGCACAACAAAGGAAACTATAAGCAAGGTGAAAAGACAGCCCTCAGATTGGGAGAAAATAATAGCAAACGAAGCAACAGACAAAGGATTAATCTCAAAAATATACAAGCAACTCCTCCAGCTCAACTCTAGAAAAATAAATGACCCAATCAAAAAATGGGCCAAAGAACTGAACAGACATTTCTCCAAGGAAGACATACAGATGGCCAACAAACACATGAAAAGATGCTCAACATCACTCATTATCAGAGAAATGCAAATCAAAACCACAATGAGGTACCATTACACACCAGTCAGGATGGCTGCTATCCAAAAGTCTACAAGCAATAAATGCTGGAGAGGGTGTGGAGAAAAGGGAACCCTCTTACACTGTTGGTGGGAATGCAAATTAGTACAGCCACTATGGAAAACAGTGTGGAGATTTCTTAAAAAGCTGGAAATAGAACTGCCATATGACCCAGCAATCCCACTTCTGCGCATACACACCGAGGAAACCAGATCTGAAAGAGACACGTGTACCCCAATGTTCATCGCAGCACTGTTTATAATAGCCAGGACATGGAAGCAACCTAGATGCCCATCAGCAGACGAATGGATGAGGAAGCTGTGGTACATATACACCATGGAATATTACTCAGCCATTAAAAAGAATTCATTTGAATCAGTTCTAATGAGATGGATGAAACTGGAGCCCATTATACAGAGCGAAGTAAGCCAGAAAGATAAAGACCATTACAGTATGCTAACACATATATATGGAATTTAGAAAGATGGTAACGATAACCCTATGTGCAAAACAGAAAAAGAGACTCCTATGTATAGAACAGACTTGTGGACTCTGGGAGAAGGCAAGGGTGGGATGTTTCAAGAGAACAGCATTGAAACACGTATATTATCTAGGGTGAAACAGTTCACCGGCCCAGGTTGGGTGCATGAGACAAGTGCTCGGGCCTGGTGCACTGGGAAGACCCAGAGGGATTGGGTGGAGAGGGAGGTGGGAGGGGGGACCGGGATGGGGAATACATGTAAAAAAAAAAAATAAAAGGAACAAGACAAAAAAAAAAAAAAAAGAGTCATACTGACACACACACACACACACATATAGTACATGTGTGAGCAGTTAGAATTTTCAATTTATACGTATTCCTGGGGTGGAAAATTAGGAACCTGGGCAATTTCGACCCTTTTCACCCTTGGGAAGGTAAATTTAACTTCTCTGAATATTTTTTTTTAAAGATAAACTTATATGGTACAACTGCTATGGAAAACAGTATTATAGTTCCCTCTAAAATTAAGCATAGAATTACTAGTTGACTCAGCAACTTCACTTCTGGGTATATACCCAAAGAACAGAAAACAGGAACATAAATAGATATTTGTACATTCATAATCACAGCAATATTTTTCACAATAGCTAAAAAGCAGAAGCAACCGAAGTGTCCACTGATGGATGACAATGTGTGCCATTATTCAAAATGTACCATTATTCAGCCTTAGGAAATTCTGACACATGTTACAATATGGATGAACCTTGAGGACATTGTGCTAAGTGCAATAAGCCAGTAAAAAGGAGAAATATCATATGATTCCACTCATACAAGGTCCTTAGATTCAGAATTAATATTTAAGTTTACAGAGACAGAAAGCAGAATGGTAGTTTCCAGAAGTTAGGGAGAGGGAGAGAAACATGAGTTAGAGTTGAATGACAGAGTTTCAGTTTTTGCAAAATAAAAAAAGTTCTGAAGATAGATGGAGGTGCTGGCTGGATAACAATATAAAAGCACTTAATCCACTGTGACATTACAGGTAACAATGTACACTTAATGCTTTCAATGGTCAACTTTATGTTATGTGTATTTTACTATGTGTGTATGCTCAGTTGAGTCTGGCTCTTTGTGACCCTATAGACAACAGCCTTCCAGGCTCCTCTGTCCATGGGATTATCCAGGCAAGAATACCAGAGTGGGTTGCCATTTCCCACTCCAGGGGAATATTTTACTATAATTAAAAACAAATAGATAAATTTGTACAAATTAACAGCATGAGCTTGATTTTCTTAAACATGTCTATATCTGATTCTAAATCTGTGTTGGGCTAAAAAAATACTTTTCCACTATGGAAACTACTATCCCAAATTAATTTAGGTTACCTTTCCAAGAACATTCTGAAGCTACCTTCCCTTCCAGGTGAAGTTGGGTGACAACCTATGATACTGTTTGGACAGGAGGTCTAAAGCTGCAAAGACCAGACAGTTTTTATTTGAACCTTGACTGACAGCTTGAGCACCCTTGAACAGTCACAATATCATAGACTCCAAAGCCTCAGGGAGGGGCTGAGTTGACTGAGGCCATGCCCAGATGGAGGTCTCATCTCCATCCTCTCAAAGATTGTTCCATCATTTAACTGAATTGTGCATTTCTTTGGTTTTTAATTTGTTTATGTGTTCCCATTTAGCTCAAAAGACCATTGGACTTGTTGGGAGTTTGCATTAGTTTTGCATCTGAGTGGGGTTATATCTTCCAAATACATCTCATTGACGAGTAATCGAATTCTGGGTCTCCCAGCTTTCTTTAAGTCCCAGCCTTATTTAAGTGTCTATGAAGGTCGTTCCTGTCATACACATCCCTCTCTAGCTGGTGCTTTGGAAACATACCTTCAATCTTAGTCTTGAAGTGAGGGTATTTGTTGAGAATCTCCACCTGCTTCCTCCAGTCAAATTCATTCCTCCAGTAGGAGATGATTTTCTTCAAATAGTTGGCGTTGAAACCATAGTGGAAACGACTGTCCTCCAAAGGTGAAGTTAAACGGACCCTGTCGATCCTCTGATGTAAGTCCTGGAGCAAAATGTGAGACCCCAAGGGGAGAAGGTGAGTGTGGCAGAGCACAGGAGACAGTTTGTTTCCAGAAGGCAGAGAACCCTGAAGCCACCAGACCCCCTGCTACAGTAAAGGCAAAGCAAAGTTCCACCAGACGGGGCGAGGAGGCCCCTGGCCTGCAGACTCATGCTCTGGGTCATCAGGTTTATCCCAGAAGAAAGCTCCTGGCTTCCCAGTGGTGGCTGTTCCCCAAACATACGTTTTTCACTTTCAACTTCAGGTTACATCTCATTTTTGTTTTTAAACATATGAACAAAATGCGTCGTTAATTTCGTGAGGCTTATATACAGCAAGGGATGCCTCCCAGGGGGCTCAGTGGTAAAGAATCTGACTGCCAAGGCAGGAGACGCAGGAGATGAGGGTTTGATCGCTGGGTTGGGAAGATCCCCTGAAGGAAGAAATAGCAAACCCACTCCAGTATTATTGCCTGGAAAATCACATGGACAGAGGAGCCTGGTCGGCTATCGTCCCTGGGGTCACAAAGAGTGGGACACAGCTCAGCGATGAAGCACACAGCACACAGACAGCAGGGGGTGGCCAACGTTTTTGTTTTGTTTTCGTTTGGTCAACTTTTCTCAAAAGGGCCAGATCATAAGTAGCTTAGGTTTTCTGAGCCGCAGCTAACCTACTCTGCTCTTAAAGGACGGAAAAAGTCGTAGATGGTACGTGGACAAATGGAAGTGACTGTGTTCCAATAAACGTTACTTATGGGCACTGAAATTTGAATGCCAGGTAATTTCCATGTTACAAAGTATTATTCTTCTTTTGATTTTTTCCCAACCATTTAAAGGTGTAAAAATTATTCTTAGCATGGGAGCTGTACAAAAGCAGGTGGCAGACTATTAATCATAAAATATATAACCAACAAGGACCTACACTACAGCACAAGGGAACTCTATATTCAATACTCTGTAATAATCTATATGGGAAAGTGAAAGTTGCTCAGTCATGTCTGACTCTTTGCAACCCCATGGACTATACAGTCAATGGAATTCTCTAGGCCAGAATACTGGAGTGGGTAGCCTTTCCATTCTCCAGGGGATCTTCCCATCCCAGGGATCGAACCCAGGTCTCCCACATTGCAGGCAGATTCCAATCTGAAAAAGAATGGATATATGTAATATTTATAATTGATTCACTTTGCTGTACATCTGAAACTAATACAGCATTGTAAATCAACTATACTCCAATGTAAAATAAAAATTAAATTTTAAAAAGAAGGTAGCAGAATAGGTTTGCGGATTCTGGTCACAGTGTTAAGTGATATACTATATGTGAGTATGTGTGTGTTAGTTACTTAGTCATGTCTGACTCTTTGTGACCCGATGGACTGTAGCCCGCCAGGCTCCTCTGTCCTTGGGACTCTCCAGGCAAGAATACTGCAGTGGGTTGCCATTCTTTCTCCAGGGCATCTTCCCAGGGATCAAACCCGGGTCTCCTGCATTGCAGGGGGATTCTTCACTGTCCGCTCCTCTTCTCAACTGCTGGACGAGAAGCTCTTTGAGGGAAGGCTCTCTCTCTTCTTCCAAGTACTCTGCACTAGGTCTGCACACAGTAGGTGCTCCCATACCCACAGAATGAAAGAAACAATGGGTAGGGATGTCCCAGGTCCCACCCACCCTCCCGGTCCTGTTCAAGCCTCGCTTAGCCCACTCCAGGGTCACACCTATCCCTCATGATTCCAGCCGTGTGCACAGGATGGGGCCCAGGCTTCGGCATTAGACAGATCTTAGTCTAAATCCTCCAGCTTATTATCTCAGTCACTTGTGCATCAACTGCTTTGCCTCTCTAAGCTTCAGTTTCTACATGACCGCAGTCACTGCACGTGATCACGAGGGGCTAAACACACAGCAGGTGCCTGGCCACAGCTGGCCCTGAGCCAGGTTCTCTGTGCTGCAGCATTTTATGTCACCACAGGCTTGTTTTCACTCATGATCTCCACCCAGGCTCCAAGAAGGGCCTCACTTCTGCCTTCAAGCTCATTCCCAGGGTTTCAGGTGGGGCACAGAGGAGGCAGAAACAGCTGCTCTCTGTGACCCTTAATGCAGGTAGCTGGATTCAGCTGGCATTCCTTTCCTCGTGCGGGCACTGCTGGGCCTTAAGAACCAGGAACGTGGAGACAGAGGAGGGGGAAGGAGCAGAAGGGATGGGTGGGCAGTCCAGTGGGAGAAAAGCAGGCAGAAAACAGCCCTAGAGGGGACCACTTCGGAAGACCCTCTTTGGTGCCAGGGCTAGCCTGAGGCCCAACCCCAGATGGGGCTCCCCTCCCTTACCACCCTCCCCTCTGCTCAGCCACCCAGAAAGAGGTGCCTTACGTTGATCTCCTCATCTGATGTTTCCACCTTGAATGGGCGGATGCTCTTATCCTCCTCAGCTGTGGGCCTCACCCCAGGCCCCCACCATCCATCTTCAAGGGGCAAAGTCTCCTCCTTGCCCTTGGAGACAAACCAGTAGATGACAAAGCCCAGCACTGAGGCGAGCAGTATTTCCAGCCACATGACTCCTGCAAAAGCAACAGCCCATCAACAACAGAGTCTGCCAGATGCCCTTGACCTCTGGCTGGAAATGCCAGAATCCTGACTTCTTTCCCACCCAACTCTCGATTTTGTGTACTTTTGACATGAAAAAAATAACATCAGCATTTGTTGTTGTTTAGCTGCTAAGTCCTGTCCAATTCCTGCCACCCCATGGACTGCAGCCCGCCAGGCCCCTCTGTCCATGGGATTTTCCAGACAAGAATACTGGAGAGGGTTGCCTTTTCCTTCTCCAGAGGACCTCCCGACTCAGGGATCAAACCTACATCTCCTGCACTGGCAGGCGGATTCTTTACTGGTGAGCCACCAGGGGAGCCCAACATAAGCATAGTATGGACAAATTGGAAAACAATAAAGAAAGCCACAAAAATCACCATGATCCTACCAAGCTATGGAATTCATTAATCAGATTTAGAAAAGATGAAGCTGGGTTGGCGTCTGCATAGCCTTGGGTGGTGGGCTCTGCAGGTCTGAGGCCTCCTGGTTCTCTGAGGGGTCTCTTCCTCCAGACACTTCTGAGAAGCTTATCTCCACTGTTGTGACGTCCCCTCCCCCACAGAAGGAGCAGGGACGTCTTCGAGCAATGGGCTCAGGAGAGGAGATGGAGTCACGCTTGCCCCTTGCTGTCTCTCCCTGAGAGGGGCCTCTCCTCAGGGTGTACATACAGGGCAAGGGGGGAGGTCTGAAGAGCTGGGAGGTTAAGTGCATCCGAGGTTGGGGGGAGTGTTCAGTGGCCCAAATGTGGCCATATATCTCAGCTGGTTGTCAACAGTTTTATTGAGATTTAATTCACATACCATGTAATCTAATGGTTTTCAGTATATTCACAGATACATGCAACCATATTCACAATTCTAGAACATTTTCTTCACAACAAAAAGGAACCCTTTACTCTTTAACTATTACTGGCACTTGTCCCCCACACCACCCCGGCCCTAAGCAGCCACTAATCTACCTTCTGTCTACAGACTTGCTTATTACATTTCACATAAATTCAGATGTTTTAATCATTTGTCTGACTCCCCTATTTTTTTCGCAAAAGGGGAAGAAAGAAGAGCTCAGTGCCTGCAAACCAATACCAGGCGGACAATGGCTTGGCATTATTATCGAGCTATTCATTTTGCACATTTCCAAGGAAGTAACCCCCCTTCCCTGCAGGTTCACAGTCAGAGAAACGTGCGTGAGTATGGGCGCCATCCTCTGGCCAGAGACCTCGGCAGAGCTACGTCTCAGGCCCAGCCCAACTCTCCCCTGGAAACCTGGGGCAGGGGGAGGATGCCGCTAGCAAACCCACCCCAGTGTGCCCTCCATCCACTGCTGGGGGCTTGCCAAGGCCCTGCGGTTTGCTCTGCCAAGAAAACATGCACAGGCTTCTCCCACTTCCCACAAAGAGATGCTCTGTCTCTGCCAGGGAAACCCCTCCCCTTTGAGAAGAGCCAGCTGCTGGTCTTCGTGGTATTCGAAGGCAGGGACTGTGAGGTGCTGGGGAGCGTGTGGGAAAAGGCAGAAAGCAGAGAGCAGAGCTGCCCTTGGCAGCAGGAAGAGACAGACATGGCTTACCTGTCGGGTGGGTCACAACGTAAGAGTCTGGAGCTGGGAAGACAAGAACTGTGTCTATCCTAGTCCCTGCCCTGACCACAGTGCCCAGCATAATGTCTGGCACAGAAAGGCACTTTGCCAGTGTGTGTGCGATCAACATATACAGTGGATGCAAATAAGATGTCGCAGGATGTTGTCAAGGGAGCTGCAGTCATGATGAACAAGAGGGGTTAACTTTACTCTCCCAAGTGAATGATACACGTCACCCTCCTCACCTGACTTCAGCACAGAGAGGTCAAGAGCATGGCTGTCATTTTCCGCTGGGTTATAAATGCCCTACTTTCCCTTTTCTGTGTTGAATTATCCCAGGGCTTTCACTTGTCCATGTGAACTCTGAGTTCTCACCCTCTGAGCAGCAGCTTGGGAAGCAGCCAGGGAAACAGAGTTACGAAATACTGCACCCAGATCCATGCTAGGGGCCTGCAGGTGCCACCTTCACCCTCTACCGCCTTTAACAATTGCTGGGTGCTACCAACCTAGTAGATCTGATATGTGTGCAGACAGTTATCTCCCCTGGACTTCAACAACAAACAGAACCATGAGCTAGAGTGTTGAAATGATCAGTATTCAAGCACTGTATCTAAACTCTGGGGACCTGGACAAGGGGCACCATGATGGGCCATGCTGGCACAGCCCAGGGCAAAGTGACAGATTCAAGGAGAAAGTTTAAAGCCCTTTCTCTTGCACCTTAATTAAGATAATAAAAATATTAGTTCTTGGTTCAAGGACGGTGCTTTAGTGCTATTGATCTCAGATTACAAAGCAAGCTTTACTGCAGTGTGTTAATTTGCCACCTATTAACTACCCTTTTCACTTTCATGCATTGGAGAGGAAATGGCAACCCACTCCAGTGGTCTTGCTTGGAGAATCCCAGGGACGGGGGAGCCTGGTGGGCTGACGTCTATGGGGTCACACTGAGTCGGACACGACTGAAGTGACTCAGCAGCAGCAGCAGCAGCAACTACCCTTTATTTATTAGCAGGTATTAAATGCACATGAAGCAAGGCGCTCAAGGTTAGCCCAGTGTAACAGGCATTGACTGTCTGCTGGTGGGTTTTCAAGGGATGTGATAAACCATGGCCCATGCAAATCCACCCACTAAGGAGCCAAATTTCACTGACCTTTCTTTATTACTTAAGGTAAGAACCAGGGCAGGCAAGGGACTTGCCCCAAATCACATCGCACTTTCGAGGATTAGAATCTGTCGTCAAAGCATTCATTCCCGGTCTGTCGCTGGGTATGTTGCTCCTGCCACCCCGACCTACCCACCCCATCTTATTTCCTCTCAGCATGTGTTTCCAGCCTCAAGCCTTCATACCTGCCCTTTGGGTCCCAGTCAGAGCACAGGCGAGCCACGACTGCACGGGAGGCCTCTCTCAGGTCAGAATATTTTTTCCCCCAAAATTAGATAATAATAAACAAGATCTTCCCCTTCCTCGTGCACTGGAGCTGCGGGTCCATAAGGAAGAAGGTGGTTGGTCCGCGAACTCCGAGAAGAGGCGGGGCCTCTGAATCCGACCAATCAGAGTTCAGCCCCTCCATCCTTAGGCTTAACTCCGTCCCCACGCTCTCAGGCCAGTCAGTGAAAGTCTAGACAGACGTTCGCCGCTGGGCGCGTGGAGGGTCTCGGAGTGCCGCGGCTGCTTTCAGATCTCCGGATCTCCCTGCTTAGGGCTGCTGCTTTATTTAGAGTATGAGGAAAGTGGAAGTCTGAGGCTCAGGAGAGACGGCGCCACGCTGCCTGCCCAGTGCCTTGCACAAAGCAGGCGATGGCGTGGAGCCAGCTGATGGCTCTTCTCCCCAGAGCGGACTCTTTGGGGCTGGGCCGGTTGAAGCAACATCGTCCACAAGGGGGAAAAGCACTGTTCACCGGGAAATCCAAGGCCAACTGCACTCTGGCTGTCGCAGCCAAGGTTGGGGGAGGGGATGGCTCCAAGCAGGTGACACAGCTCTCTACTCTAACCCCCTATCCCCACCTCCAGGGGAAGAGAAGGGTTGCATCAGTCCAACTTCTCTGGGCCGGCCAGTCGCTAGTTTGGAGCCATTGAACAGCCGAGCTGAAGAGGAACTCAGCAACCTGAGTCCAGCGCCTTTACTTCATAGCTGGGGAAGCTGAGTCCAGGGGAGGCCATAACTCACCCAAAGCCATGTGGCCAGGGAGCAGCACATCCGGGGAAAAAAAAAAAGGAGAAAAGGACCACTGCACTCCTGCCCTCTATTGTAACTGGTGCAGGGCAAGGTTTCTCCACCTTGGCACAATTGACATTTTGGATCAGATAATTCTTAGTGAAGAGTGAAAGTGAAGTCGCTCAGTCCTGTCCCACTCTTTGCAACTCCATGAACTGTCAGCTACCAGGCTCCTCTGTCTGTGGAGTTTTTCAGGCAAGAGTACTGGAGTGGGTTGCCATTTCCTTCTCCAGGAGATCTTCCTGACCCAGGGATCGAACCCGGGTCTCCCGCATTACAGGCAGACCCTTTACCATCTGAGCCACAGCCTGTGCAAAGTAACAGGATCCCTGGCCTCTAGCCCATAATACCACCTCCTCCCCAATGTGGGATGACATTACATGTCTCCAGATATTGCCAAGTGTTCCCTGGGGGAGAAATTGCCCTCAGTAGAGTGGAGAACCTACGCTGCAGGTCAGTGGTTCAACTTCATCATGTGTTGGATCATCTGAGGAGCTTGTTGAACAATTCAAGGGAACTGGGGTATGGCCAGAGAATCTACATTTCTAACTAATTCTCAAGCAGTGCTGCTGCCTATGGTCCATGGACCACACTTTGAGAACCCCTGGATTCTAGACTGGATTATAAACTCAAAGAAGGCTGGCCATCTGTCTTGCTCCCCAAGGTATCCCAGTGAACACTGAGCCCAGTTCTGGCAGATACAGGAATCTCACGAACAGTTACTGAATAAACACTTGGACCTGACCAAGGTAGGAGGGACTGTGACCGTTCTACAGAATCAAGAAGCAAAGAGAAAATATCGTCTTGAAGGTAACAGGTGAGCATCGCAGAGCCTCTCTCTGTGCACAGACTGGTAAACTGGTCCCATGCAGAAAGCTGGATCCAAGTACCCTCCTGTTATGAAGGAAGGGTGGAACCATGACTCCACATCCACAGAGTCCAAGATCCCAGAAGAACTAAATGTAAACTAAATGTGACAGCTCCAGAGGACCCTGCAGCCCCTCAGCCAGGCCCGTGAAAGTCTCAGCAGCCCAACTCTCATGTTTTACCAACTTTCTTTTCCTGGTTGGAAGAAATTCCATAACCTCTCCTTCTTCCAGTCTGCAACTACAGGGGCAGTGGGACCTTGGAAAGCTTGGAAAGAAGCTGGGGCAATGCTGCCATACTGTCCAAGTCAC